AGAGAGAGAGAGAGAGAGGAAAAAAGACATTGATGTGAGAGAGAAACATCGATCCTGTCTCCTGCACATACCCCTTCCGGGGATGGAACCCACAACCTGGACATCAGGACCGGGAATAAAACCGGTGACCTTTTGGCTCATGGGACGATGCTCAAACAACTGAGCCACACCTGCCTGGCCTGTGGCTGCGCCGCGGAGGGCAGGTGGCCATCCTCCTGTCCTCCTCCCCCGTCCCTCCCTCCCGCTCCCCCATCACCCCCCAAACAGATGATCCACATCCAGGTTCAAGTCCTCCATCTGCTGGCCACCCTGCACCCAGGCCCCGCCCCCAGGCCCGCCCCCAGGCCCGCCCCCAGGGCGCGCTGGACCCTCCCGTGCCATTTCGCTGTGTTTGTGACGACAGACACACACACCCGTCTGAAGAAGACGCGGCGGAGGTAACAGAGCCAGCTTTTAAAATAACTTAGTTATTGCCGAAACCGGTTTGGCTCAATGGATAGAGCGTCGGCTTGGGGACTGAAAGGTCCCAGGTTCGATTCCGGTCAAGGGCATGTACCTTGGTTGCGGGCATATTCCTAGTAGGGGGTGTGCAAGAGGCAGCCAATCGATGACTCTCTCTCATCGATGTTTCTGACTCTCTCTCTCCCTTCCTTTCTGTACAAAATCAATAAAATATATTTAAAAATAAAATAAAATAAAATAACTTAGTTATTATCAACGCCATCTCCTTGCTCTCGCCCAAATATCAATCACGGCCTCCTCGGTGAGCGGCCGCGTGATTACCCGCGCTTCATCATTCCCGAGGATCCTGATTAACGCTGTGTGATGCAGCAATCTGAGGAGCCTGGCCTGCCGCCATGTCACCGCGTCACCCGGCTTCATGGTTTTGACAGGAAAAAAGGCGTTCCAGAAAGATGCCCAGGTCCGGCTGGAGAGCGGGCGCCCGCCAGCCACGTGCCGCTTCCGGCCACCCACAGACGCACAGAGGTGCCCGCGAAAGTCTGGCTGGCAAACACCCATGGGTGTCCCTCCCCCCTCCCCGCCACGGCCAGCAGAGTTCTCACTCGCTGGCTGGAAGGAGTCACAACGTGATGTGTTCTAGACATTTCATCTCCAGCACAACTGCGGGGTCAAAGCATTTGTACATTGAAAAAATTGGATGAGCACTGGCTGGTTTGGTTCAGTGGATAGAGCGTCGGCCTGTGGACTGAAAGGTCTCAGATTCGATTCCGGTCGAGGGCATGTACCTTGGTTGTGGGCACATCCCCGGTAGTGGGTGTGCAAGAGGCAGCTGGTCGATGATTCTCTTTCATCGATGTTTCTAGCTCTCTGTCCCTCTCTCTTCCTCTCTGTAAAAAAATCAATAAAATATATTAAAAAAAAAAAAAGTGTCAAAGATGAAAGAAAATTAGGGAAACGTACATGAAAATCTCCCTCCTGTCAGAGTCTGGGGTGTGCCACGGGACCCAGAGTCAAGTCCCCGCCCACCTGTGTGCGCCTCAAAATTGTGTGAGACCCCAACCCGGCCGGCCCCACCCCCCATCAAGCCCCACAGGGCAGGGGGCACAGCCTGAGGTCCTCAGGCCCAGCGCCGGGCAGGGGCCTTGGTCTCCAGTCCCCCATGAGGGTGTGATGGCGTGATGACAATTTGCATATTAGCTCTTCATTATGTAGGATTTGCCTAAGAATGCCTTTCCCACCCCCGAAGCACGTAAGAACTCTACATTTTGCTCTTCTGTTGTGTTTATAATACTTTGTATTGTTTTGAGTCTTTTTAAAAAACAATGTTTTTATTGATTACAGAGAGAGGACAGCCACTCCTTCCCCCACACTCCCCACACCCAGGGACGGAGCCGAGTCCGGGGCCTGTGCCGTGACCCGGAATCAAACGGTGACCTCCTGGTTCGTAGGTCGGCGCTCAGCCCCGGGGCCAGGCGGGCAGACATTCGTTTGGGGTGATCATTTGGAGTTGGGTTTGTGGTTCTTTTTCAAAACAACGGGCGGTCACTCCGTCGGCGTTCATCAAACCCACGCTCCGTTGCCACCCCGTCTTTCGCTTCAGATGCTGCGTCATCTCCCTTATTTTCTTCAGGTGGTTTCTGGAGCCGCGTCCCCCCCGGCGGCTCTCTCAGCCCTGTGTCAACACCACGCTGTTTGCCAGCCGCGTCCTCGGCCGTAGCCGGGGATTTGCAGGCAGAGAGCTCCCGACGCCTCGTCCCACACGTGCTTTATTCGTGGCATTTACACTTCGGATGGACTGGAGAACATTAACGAGTTCATAACCAGGCCTGCGCGGGCGCTGTCTGGGGCCGCGTGATGTGATTGCATCGGCGGTAAAGACAATACACCTGCAGGCGTGGTGCCGCGCACACCGTGAACCTGTGAGTGTGAGAGCCCGTCTGGCTCTCGGTCCCCGTGAGTTGAGGGCCGGAGCCCCGTTCTGATGACTCTGTATCTAACATCTGGCTCGTAGTAACGGCTCACGAGGCCGTTGCAAAGTGAATGAGTGGGTGAATGAACGAATGAATGAATGAATGAATGAAAGAAATAAAGTGACATCGAAGGGCCTACACAGAGAGCACAGCATCTCCCTTCGAGAGAGTGGAGTGTGGATTTCCTTACACTCTCTCTGCTTTGCTGTATGCTTTTTATTTTTATTTTTGTGAAAATGTACGCTCTTGCACTTAAAAAAAAAGAGAGAGAGAAGATGATTTTCACTTGGAAAAAGAAGACAGCTGCAACAAAAGAAAGAGTACCTGAAGGTGCGGCTCATTATTACGTACGTGTCAATTAAAAAAGCAGAGGGAGGGAGGGGGGCAAAAAAAAAAATCAATAAAATATGTAAAAAAATAAAAATAAAAAAAATAAAAAAGCAGGGGGGTCGGGACCGGTGTGGCTCAGTGGATAGAGCATCGGTCTGCGGACTGAAAGGTCCCAGGTTCGATTCCGGTCAGGGGCATGTATGTTGGTTGCGGGCACATCCCCGGTGGGGGGTGTGCAGGAAGCGGCTGGTTGGTGTTTCTCTCTCATCAACGTTTCTAGCTCTCTATCTCTCTCCCTTCCTCTCTGTAAAAAATCAATAAAAATATATTTAAAAAAAAAAAGCAGAGGGGAAAGGTTGGGCATTGGCCCATTCATAAATACCTCGAGGGGGAGGGAGAGGGATGGGGTTATAGCTGTTTTGTTTAATTGGAACTGGAAGAGGGATCGTGTCCTTACGTTATGTCCTTCCCAGAAAGGGGGAGGGACACCGTGATCGCACTCCTGTACTGGCCGCTGCTGCTGTCCGTCATCACGTTGCGCTCACTTCCTCTCTGTAAAAATCAATAAAGTATATTTTAAAAAAATTCCACAAAATTTGAAATGTCGCTGGATATTGGGTGCTATTAAAGATTAATAATAATTATTATTAGTTAATCTCTGCTCCTATGAGTCTGACTACTTCCGATTCCTCGTGGTTCACCTGGTGGTCACACAGGCCAGGGGCAGGGTGGGGTGGGGTGGGGAAGAGGGAGCTGCTACTCACCAGATACAAAGTTTCAGTTATGCTGGTTAAGTTTCAGAGACCCGTTAGGTAACAACAGTCTGGCTAACCATTCTGACCAGTGTCCCAGCGGAATCATTGTAGCGACTTTTCTCAGGTTTGCTAATGCCATGTTGGTTACATTTTTACAAAAGCATTTACCTTTAGAGACCTATGCCGAAGTAGGTACAAGGGCAATGATACAACGCAGAGCATTTGCTGCAAATTAACTGGATGGGAGGGGCCTGCGTGGAAGACCTTGGTCTGAGCTGAAATGTAGAGTTTGTGACAACACGCCAAGAGGGAGGTGCTGGCCGGTGCTTGAGAGGGGAGGGGAGAGGCTCCTATGGGTAGAATAACAGGGAAGCCTGGTTATTGATTAAGGCATTTTAATATTAATTTCAGAGAGAGGAAGGGAGAGGGGGAGAGAGTAACATCGATGACGAGAGAGAATCGTGGGTTGCACGCCCCATCCTGGGGATCGAGCTTGCAACCCGGGCGTGCCGGCCTGACCAGGAATCCACCTGGGACCTGGTTCCGAGGCCGATGCCCCACCCCTTTGCCACGCGGGAGGGGCAGCAGCCTGGAGGAAGCACACACATGCGGACATAATTGCGCCTTTTTTTTTTTTTTTTAAAGAAGCAAAATTCTGCCGGGACTGGTTTGGCTCAGTGGATAGAGCGTCGGCCTGGGGACTGAAAGGTCCCAGGTTCGATTCCGGTCAAAGGCATGTACCTTGGTTGCGGGCGCATCCCCAGTAGGGGGTGTGCAAGAGGCAGCTGATCGATGATTCTCTCATCGATGTTTCTAACTCTCTATCCCTCTCTCTTCCTCTCTGTGAAAAATCAATAAAATATATTAAAAAAAAAGAAGCAAAATTCTATTTTTTAAAACATTTTTATTTTTCTCTTATAATTGCGCCTTTGAATGCATGGAACAGGCACGGGGAGACTTGAACTTGCTACCGTGGAGCGGCTGGCTGCCCGAGTGCGTGAGCGGACTCCGCCCGCCAGAGGCGCCCCTGAGCGCCCGGGGCGGGGAGGGACGGGGGCCCGGCCCGGCCCGCCCGCACCACGTGACCGGGGCGGGCCGAGGGCGTGGCCATGCAGGCGTGGGCGTGGCCAGGGCGGCGGGCGCACTTCCCGGCGTGCCGCGCGGGGGCGGGGAGAGGGCGTGGCCAGGCGGCGTGGGCGTGGCCAGGCCCGGCCGGCGCACTTCCCGGCGTGCCGCGCGGGGGGCGGCGTGGGCGTGGCCAGCGGAGCCCCGCCCCCGGACGCCGCTCACCCCTCGCTCTCGGCCCGGACGGCCCGGCGTTCCCCGCGGCCTCAGCCCCGGCGAAGGCGGCGGCGGCGGCGACATGCGCGCGTGAGATGCGGCGGCGAAGGCCGGGCACGCGGGCGCCGGGCAGCCGCCGGCCGCGCCGCCTCCACCAGCGCCGGTTCCGGACTCGTTCGCCGCGCTGAGGCCCGGCGCCGCCATGGAGGCCCCGCCGGACCCCGCGCCCCGCGCCGCCGCCGCCCCGGCCCCGCTGCGGGCCCCGGAGGTGGCGCGGCTCCGCCAGGAGCAGGAAAAGGTAACGGCCGCGGCGGCCCGCCGGGCGGTGGCGCCCGCTCCCTCCCTCCGCCCGTCCCCGACCCCCGACCCCCGACCCCCGACCCCCGCCCCCGCCCCCGCCCCCGCCCCCTGACCCCGACCCCCGCCCCAGCCCCGCCCCGGGCCGGCTCGCCCCGGCGCGGGGTCCCCGGGGCCCGGGAACTTGTCACGTGCTCTTGTTGTCTTCCGGCGGCGCCCTTTGACCCGAGGGGCGGGGGCCGCGGAGGGACCAGGTCGCCCCGTCCTCCTCCCCTCCTCCCGGTGTCCCGGGCCCGGGCGCGGCGGGGATTGCCCCCCTGTGCCCCGCTCCGTCTCCGGGACCCGGTTTGTGACGGCGCCACGTGCCCGCGGGGGTGTGGCCCGGGTCCGAGGAGCGGCTCCGGCTCCGTTCTGGCCGAAGAGGGAGGGAGCCCCGCATCTCCCACTACACCCGGCAGACGCACAGCGGGACTGTGTGTGTGTGTGTGTGTGTGTGTGTGTTTTAATGTATGTGTTTTTTTTTTTTTTAATTGAACTTTAGAGGAAGGGAGCGGGAGAGAAACATCAACGATGAGACAGAATCATCCCCCGGCTGCCTCCTGCAGGCCCCACCCAAGGGATGGAGCCCAAAACTTGGGCACGTTGATGGGGATCAAACCTGAGAACCTTCAGTCCGCAGGCCGAAGCTCTGTCCACGGGGCCACACCAGCTAGGGCTGCCATTTTTTAACCTCTTCCCCGTTGGCTGCACAGGTACCTGGCCCATGTTGGATCCCCAAGAAATGTTAGGGGCACAAATGAGTAAACTTATATACAGGCTTTCACTGCTTCCTGTATGTGAACTCAGGACCCATAAACAGGAGGATGTTCTCACTTGTCCTCTGCGGACAGGGTCTCGGTCCGCCAGCACACTCCGGGCTTTTAGTCGGTGTGTGAGCCGTTGTCACTTCATTCCCTCCGTGTGGAGTTCCTCACCCACCCCACGTCAGCCAGACTGGGGACTTGGAAATCTTAGCTACCGGCTCCAAAGGCCACACCTTCCTCGGTTACTCTCGCCAAAAGACCAATAGCTGATACTTTTTGCAAAGTTCAACCTATTTTTCTTGTTCTCCGAAAGCAAAATGCTTCCTCTTAAAGCACCAAACAGGTGATTCCAAGACTAACGCCATGGCTGCTAAAATATTCGCTGCTGATACTAGTGGAGAGAAACGGTGTGCCTGTGCGTAAGGCGCATAAGGGAAATGAATGCAACACGATCATAGTAATCATTAGCGAACGTAGTTGGTTACTAATGATATATAACAGGAAGGATATTGTAAAAATTAAGTCATGAAATTTTCATTAAAACGTTTCTTGCAGACAGTTTTATTGGCCGGGCGGCAAAAATGTCCATTGTGGGCTGCGAGTTTGACATGATTGGGCTAGACTCTTTGAAAGGGTCTGCTCAGGACAGGAGACCCAAAATACAGCGACCTGTCTTTTTTTAAAATAGGTTTAAAAAAAAACATTAAAAAAATCCTCACCCAAGCACATGCATTTATTGGCTTTACCACCATTCATTGTCAGAACTTCTTTTTATCTTGGGAAACTGAAACTCCCCATGAATCACCTCCCTCTCCCCTGCCCCTCAACGGCTGCCATTTCACTTTCTGTGTCTGTGAGTCTGACTAGCCATCTTAGATTCATAGCGTCATACGGCATTTGTCCTGTGACTGGCTTTTTTCACTTAGCATGACATCCTCTGTTTGTTCATATCACAGACTGGTATGTCAGAGTTCCCTTTTGTAGGTGAACAATACTCCACTGTACGGAGATGCCACAGGTGGTTATTCACTCATCCACCGGTGGACAGGGCGGCCTCCGGTGGACAGGGCGGCCTCCGGTGGACAGGGTGGCCTCCGGTGGACAGGGTGGCCTCCGGTGGACAGGGTGGCCTCCGGTGGACAGGGTGGCCTCGGCTTTTTGACTGTTAGGAATAATGCTGCTGTGAACTTGACCTGCAGATCTCGCAGGCTGGCCTTGCTTGGGCTTCTTTTGGGAATGTATCCAGACGTGGCATTGCTGGGTCACACGTACTCTGTCTGATTTTGTAGGAACCACAAATCTGTTTTCCACCACGGCTCCGCCATGTTGCCCTTACGTGGTTATTACTCATCGCTGTCCCCGTGGCTGCGACCTGACACCTCACCGTGGCTCTGTTTCACCTCCGTGGATGTTCTTTTTTCTCTGCCTTTTTAGGGGCTTCCTTTGATTTAATCAAACACACCTTGCTGATGTGTTTTCTCCGCTCTGACAACTTGTTCATGATACATTCTTTTTTACTGTGGAACTTTAGCACTATACTTCATATATGTATTTGTTAGCACTAAATATACTATATATTTACACTATACTTACTATTTTTTCTCGAGGGTTTTTAAATTTTTTTTTTTTATTTCAGAGAGGAAGAAGGAGAGAGAAATATCAATGATGAGAGAGAATCATTGATAGGCTGCCTCCTACACACCCCACATTGGGGATTGAACCCGAAACCCCAGCATGTGCCCTTGGTCAGATTCGAACCTGGGACCCTTCAGTCTGCAGGCTGACGCTCTGTCCACTGAGCCAAGCCGGCTAGGGCACGAGAAGGTTCTTCCAGAGATCGCAACATGCACTCCTTTACCCATCCCAGCGCCTGCATATGGCTCTGTGCGTTTGAATTCTGTGCGTTTTAAGCACTCTGACATTTTATTGTTTTCGGGGACCCGCACGGATTTATCATTCCCTTTTCTAAGAATGCCTGTACGTTGCTCTTGAGTTCCTCCTGCATTTATATTGCTCCCACAGCCCCTGTATATTTCTCTCCCCCCAGGTCAGGGTGATGAGCCGTGGCTGACGGCGCCCGGGCAGTGTCAGTGGCTACACTGGAGCGTGGGAACTCAGGGTTCCCTCTGTGGCTGTGCCTCCTTTTGCTCTGGACAGCAGTCTGGACGCCCGGTTACTGGCTCACACCCTAAGGGGGGGTCACTCTCACTTTTCGTAATTGTGGACGGCAGCTCCAGGTCGCTCTGGTTGCTCCTTGGAAGGCGGTGTGTGTCCTCCCTGCTCCTGCCCGGCTGCCCCGAGCTTCTCTCTTCTTGGGTGTTTATCCGGGCAACTGCTCAGTCTCGGTGCTCCTCCTGTCTGTGTCTAGTCTGCGGTGCTTGTTCCTTTTTTAGGAGGTCACAGGCACGTTAGACTGGCCCAGCTGTGAAAGGGACCGGGTGAGTGTGGGGAGTGGGGGAGCCGGCGGGGAAACTGGCTAATGGTCCAGGTGAGGCGAAGGGGATGGCGTTGATTCCATCGGGCTGTGTTTTCTGAATAAGAGCCGCCAAGAGCTTTGGCAAGTGGCTCTGCGTAATTGGAGTTAACTGTTGGTAGCAGCTTGGCATTTTGCCTTTTAGGATATTTAGAAAGGAAAGTTGTTTAAAGCTTTGTGCGGAAGCCCAGCTCAGTGCAGTTTCTGCTGCTGACAGCGGTTCCAGCGGAGGCATATTGCCCCCTCCTAGGCCAGGCCAGTTGGAATGGGCTTGTATTCACAAGGGGTCCACAGCTGATGGCCCTGGGGACTGGTGCCAGCCCACAGCCAGGGGATGTGAGTGGAGACCTTACCCACGTGCAACCAGGCCTGCCTGCCTTCCTTCCTTCCTAAAGTGAGAGCAGAGTTGTTATTCCTGCATCCATGTGCTTCATTGGCTAGAACTGATCAAACAACCTGTGGAGCAGACTGTGCCTGTGTGTCAGCTGGGCCCTGGCGTGAAGGAAAAGCAGTTAGTTGGCTGGGCTGGGTGTCATTGTCATCCTGGACTTGTAACTCGATTAGTGCCTGACGCGGTGTGATAGTGATCACAGGCCGGCCCACTGCCCTCTCCTCCAGCACACGCACACACATACACCACACGCACTCGTGCACGCACAAACATACATCACACGCATTCGCGCACGCACACACATACACCACACGCACTCGCGCACGCACAAACATACACCACACGCACTTGCGCACGCGCAAAACCCCCCCCCCCCCCACTTGTGCACGCACACGCACATTGGCTTGGGAAATTTGTTGTTCATACACAGTTGCTTGACCTGAAAGGGCCGTGAGCTGAGTGAAGCATTGGAAGAAGGAAGGATGTTTATTGGTGGATTTAAGCTTTCTTGCTTTTATGCCATTACTGTTGGCTTATGCAGGGAGGGCAGGAGCAGCAGCTGAGTCCGAGAGGGAGGGAGGGAAGGTGGGGGGAGAGAGAGAGAAAGATGCAGACAGCTGCTCTCCTGTGGGAGCCATCCCACAGTGAGTGTGGGCTTTGGGGTTGTTTCCCTCTTGGCAGTCCTTGGCGGTAACGTTGTGTGCGTTACTTCACTGCTGAGCACAGGTGCCCGCTCCTAGGAGAGGTTCAGGCCCCCTCCGGAACTGTCCGCAGCTGGTGGAGGAGGTGCCGTCTCTGCCAAGCTCGGTTAGTCTTGCTCTGGGGTAGGGAGGGCAGTTTTGAGTTAGGCTGGTGCCATGTGACTGGGGGGGGGGGTAAAAAGCGGTCGGTCAGCTCCTCGCCTGTCCTTGCCTGTGGACCCAGTGCTCCTGCCACACGTATGTATCTTATTTACAGTTCCTGGCCGTGAGTGCCGTTACGTTACAGGATTCACTGGGGCACTTATTTTAATTGTTGAAGTCTGCTGACAATTCTTTTCCTAAAAACGGTTCAATAGGATTTCTTTCTCTAGGAGTGAGCTCCATGTTTTGGCAGGTCTAACTTAAAAGCCTGGAATTGGCTCCCGTTCCCGATAGCCATCTTACTTCTTCCAAAAGCTCGTGTGAAGGACCACAAAGCAATGAGGTGTTTGTTTCCCCCAGAGCTGTTTATTGGACCGGCTTACTCTCTTACCGTTAAAGGAATCAACCTGAATTCCTTTTCAGAGGGAATGAGATTATTTGGAAGTACTTGACAGAAAAATGAGATGGATCTGTTTTTTAACCCAGGAAGGCTCGTTTGAATCATAAAATTGTCTTCCTTCTAAAATTTTCCTTCCCAGCTAAGTGTAGAAATTAAAACTGCAGGTATCTCACAGTGTAAACACAGCGGCCTGGGTTCAGTGTCTGTTGGAGTCACGGACTGAGGCCACTGAGGCTGTAGCAGAGGTCGCAGGACGCACCGTGGCAGCTCCTGTCCCCTGCGTCCTCCCCCTGTCCCTCTGCAGGCTGGTCCTCAGTGTCTGGCCTGTGTGGATGGCGCCCAGCGCAGCCTCTTCTGAACCCTCCCCGGAACCAGCGGACACGTGACTGTAAGCAGGGCTTTGGCAGTGAGCATTCCCCTTGTAAATTATGAAATAGGTTTGTTGTTGTTGTCTTCTTGAAATCTGTTCCTGGGAACTGTTTTAGGAAAAAGAAGGGACCAGAGGAGGGGGCTGGGGAGGGATAGCTGGAACCTGGGGGGATGGCAAGGAGACAGGCTTGTTTTTTAGGCATAAAAAGCGTATTGCCAAATTTACATATTTACTAATTAAAAAGGCTTCCTGAGGCCTGCAGTAGACTATCTTTTGTGACCTTTAACACCGGCACTAATGGATATTGCACAGAACATTTCATCGAAGGCCCTTTAAATAATGCAGGTGATTATGAATATGTAACTAGTTAATATGCAGCCGCGGCAGGTTGCCGCGTGCAGGTTAATGAAGCCTGCACGGCGGTTCGCGGCGGCTCCTCTGCCTCTGCTCCTTCAGGCGTGGAGACCGGCGTCGGCCGGAGAGGGCTCAGCGTTTAATGGGTGTTCAGTAGGAACTTTATCAGGAAGAGGGTTTCACGCAGATGGTTTTCTCTCAGTTTACATGGAATTCTGTTTGTGTCTCAGAGACCGCAGGGTGGACGGGAGTCACTGGCCACTCTCTCTGAGTGCATGTCAGTGAGTCGGCCCTCCTTGAGGTGCTGAGTGAGTGTGGGTGAGGCTGGGGTCTGATCCCAGCATGCATTTGGTGCAGGATTACTGCCCTAGTATTGAAAATGCCCCAAGGGGGACAGTTATTTCAGGAATTAAACGTTAGAGAGGTTTAGTGACAGTGGGGGGGGGGGATGACTTCTGGGGGAAGCATTAAGCATACGGACAGACAGCAGACGGTTACCGGTGTCCCATTCACCAAGGCTGTGGCTTCATACCCATCGGGCACACTTAGCTTGCGGGTGCTGTCCTGGTTGGGCTGCATAAGAGGCAACTGATGGATGTTTCTCTCTCTCTCTCTTTCTCTCTCTCCTCTTTCCTCTCTCCTCTCTCAATTCTCCTTCCTTCCTCCCTCTCTCTATAAAAAAAAAAAAAAATCAATAATAAAAAACTCAAACATATCCTTGGGTGTGGAGTCAAACCCCAGATGATTTTTTTCCCCATGTGGCTTTGTATTGAGCCTTTTGGCTTTTACTCTTTAGTTTCTTTGTCTCTAAAATGGTGCTACAGTATTTGAAATGCTTACAATGTTTACTAATGGGCCATGTAAGAGCAAGTGATTAGTAATCTTTGGAAACAGTGTTGCTTTTCACTTGCCATCTACGTGTCTTCCCCTTTGTTGGCTGGGTGCTTACTGGTGTTCTGAGCTTGGTGGGATCTACCGAAATGCCGCAGGGAAACAAACAACTTTGGCCATTAATTTCACTGTTTCCAACGGCTATGAGGTGCTTACACTTGTATCATAACTCACAGGGGGACAAATGGGCTGTTCAGAGCATCTCTTTATCCTGAGTATTTCCCTTTGAAAATGTAGTAGAAAAATATCACCCAACTCACTTTTAATGCGTCAGAATAAAAATCACAGGTGAGAACATTTGTAGATATACTGACAAAATAAAGTATTTTCACTACTGTCATTTTTTTTAACTGATGAAACGTGGATGTTACATTAGCTTTTTGTTATTTGTAACATTTGTGTATCCAGCAAAATACGTAACACTGAAGCGGGCCTGTAGATTGTACAGACGCTGGTTGTCTCCTATCGTGTGTCATCTCACGTTAGGAAGCGGCTCTGTGGAGCTGCAATTTGTCTGCGGTTATCAGCCCGAGCTAGGCGGTGACGGAGTGTGCAGCCAGGAGCCCGCGCTCCGTCTCGGCGCTGACACAGAGATGGCCGGGGTGCGGGGTCTGTAAGGCCAGCTCTGTGCCACGCCGTTTTCACGAGGAATTATCTGTTTCCATGACAGGTGGTCGCTGGCTGCCGAGAGAGGATCCAGCACTGGTGAGTGAAGGACGCTTTTATCGCTTTTCTGAGACCCTGTCAGCCCCCCTCCGTGGCTAAGCAGAGTGGGCCCTCGTTTTGGGGCCCGTGATTGAACTCTCCATGTGGAATGCCTGGCCACTAGCTTATATCGTCTGCCACTGTTTGCTGACTTACCTGCCTCCTGATTTCCTGAAGTGTCCCCATTGTGATTACTCTAGGGCTTTCTTTTCTCCTTTCTGCTGGTGAGGGTTAGAATGACATTGTTGTGGTCATGAGGTGGAGACAGACATTTCAGAACTAGACTAATGGTAGCTCTCCCGGGAATATTTTTGTGTGACCGGGGTAATAACTGGGTCAGCTGTGGACAGGGTGGCAGTGTGCTGAGCCCCGGCAGCGGCATGGGCCAGCCGCCCTGTCTGCTCAGGCTGGTTCTGAGCCCATAGCCGGTGCTGGTGCGCAGCCCCTCCTCCGCCTCTGGGCACTGAGAGGCACAGGGTGTGTCCCTACCTGCCTTCAGACCTGCTGCCCCCACGCTGCTTACCCGGCGGCAGCCTCATCTGCGGTGCAGTCGCGCAGCCGAGCCCCTCTTGGTGGGGACACGATGACAGGGGCGTGCAAAACGGGTGATGTCTACTGACGCCCGTGCTGGCTTGTGCACTCGCGGCGATTCTTCCGTCCAAGGGGCACAGCGACTGTCTGGGCTTCAGGGTCTGAACTCCTCGGCTTTACCCCCCGTTCTTGTAAACAACGTTTTTCAAATCTTCCCAGGAACTGTTTGCGTCTAAGCTAACGCCAGTGTGTGAGCGTTTGCAGGACTGCTGCTCTAAACCTAACTGCTAGCGTGCAGCAGGCCCACCGTGCGCCTGGGTGCGCGGCTGCGCCCTGTGCTGCCCACACAGCCTCTCCAGAGCCCCTGCAGGCGCAGCTGGCTGTGTGCTTGTCAGCACGGCCTGCTCCCATGGGAGCGATCTGGTTTCTCTCACCTGCGCTTTCTCATCTTCCTCCTTCCTCTTGGTGAGGAGATGTTGGCGAGTGACATTCGCGATAGGAATATTCTAGGGCGAATAGCATACATGTGAGAGCCCTTCGCCTCCTCTGGGCCAGCTGGGGGGGCGGCATTGACTTCAGGGGAGCGGGGAGTAAGCAGCAGCCTGCTGCTGGCAGAGCAGTCATTTCTATTATCTGGACACGATGGTCTCGTGGCAATTTATCCCAATTTCAGTTTGACAGCATCTGCATGTTCTTTTTAAATTGCTTGCTGAATTGGTGAGTTTTATTTTAAAACACCCACAGACCCTTTGCTGTCAGACATTTCAGTGCCCTGGTTTGCCTGCAGCTGACACCCTAGGGGGCCCGGGGGAGCTAACCTCCGGGGAGAGGCTGAGAACGGCCCGCAGGCTGTGCTGGCAGTGGGCGCTGAGGGGCCCAGGTGGAGGGCTCCCAGGCCATCTCTGCTCCTGCAAAGTCATGTCTTCGTTGTTCCTCGTGAACTGCGAGGCAGCTCCGTTTGGTGGAACATGACGCGGACGCCAGGGCCAGGGGAAAGGCCTGTGCTGACCTCTGTGATTTCTTCTGGCCCATGGGTCCCCCACCTTAGTCACAGGAGGGGGCCTAATGAGGGTGATGGCTCCCCCTCTCGGCCCCAGCTTTCTGAGATTTTATCCATGGCTTCCTGGAGCTTCCCTCGCCCTCCTCCTTCCTCGGGAGTTTCATTCCTTCCACACACCACCATCTCCCTAGTTCCCGGATTTCACTCGGGTCAGACCCCTTCCTCCTCAGGAGACCGGTTCTCAGGATGGGAGGCTTCTCTGAGGCCAAGGCCCGCGCTCCTCCCTGGGAGCGTGTGGGGTCAGGCCCTCGGGAAACCGTGTGGAAACAGGGTTGTGAGTGAAGACGTGTCCAGCTGCAGAGGGCTGGGGTTTCTGCGGGCTGGGGTGGGGGGCGCAGAGCCTGCGGGGCGCTGGCTGTGGTGATCGGCTGTTTGGTGTTCTGTCCACAGGCAGCGCGTGGATGACGACTACAGCGCCCTGCAGGAGCGGCTCGGCACCCTGCCCGACAGGCTGTCCTACGACATCATGGTGGGTCGCGTCCTCTGTGGAGGGACCCTTGGTTCTGGCGGAGACGCTGCCCGTGGGGAGCAATATGTTCCTTTCCTCCGGCCGGGGTCCGGTCACTGGCCACCAGCCGAGGCCTGCGTCAGGGCAGCAGCCGTAGGGCTTGTCTCACTTCACACTCACACCAGTTGTAGAAATATGGGTCTTTTCTTCTTCCCCTTTCTTCCAGACTTACATGGAATGATCACATTATGGTGACACGCATGGCATACGTGTTAGCACCACATTGGCCATGTTGGTGTGCAGGTTTACTCTGTCCGAAAACTACAATTATGGCAGAAACACCGCGCTCAGTCATTTCCTGTTAGCCAGAGCAGGAATTGACCGTGATGTTTTGTAATTCTCAGAATTAAGCCCTAGAACTTTGGTTTTATATAAGAAGGCACGCTAGTTTCTGTTTGAGCGGTCTCCATACTGACAGTCATCTGTTCCCGAGCCCGGATTAGAGCCCTCACTGCATCAGTGTTCCTCATGGAGGCAGTTCTTTTTTTTTTTTAAATCAGTCTTTATTGTTCATATTATCACAAAGGTTCCTCCTTTCTTCCCCCCTCCACCAGGTTCCCCCCCACCCTCCGCCCCCTCCCCCTCCCCCATTGTCCTCATCCATAGGTGCAGTTTATGTTCAGTCTCTTCCTCCCTCCCTTTCCCCGATAGTAAATCCCTTTTCAGATAGTAAATCAGTTACTTAGCATTTTCTCATATCAATAATACCTCCACATGCCCAATGATACCCTTCACACAAAAGACATTTCCCAATAGGTCCACCAGCCTCATCCAGGCCCCACCCAAGGCACTCACAGATCAACACCCCAGCCCTATACTAACTCAACACATCCAGATCTAAGCCTTCATCACTTGATTCAGCAGACCCTCAAGTTCCCACAAAAGTTTCCAGCCATGTCTGAGAAGCAGCCGTGGGGCAGGGGCAGGCGAGGAGCGAGCTGTTCCGGGCCTGGCTGCTCAGGGCCTGGCCTCTGTTGCTCTGGTTCATTCCACAACCAGCTGCTCCGGGTCTGGTCACTGCCGCTCCCGACCTAGTTGCTCTGGACTTGGCTGCTGCTGCTCCGGGCCTGGCCGCTCCCAGCCTGGCAGCTCCCAGCCTGGCAGCCGCTGCATGGAGGCAGTTCTTAATGGCACCGCCCAGGTCCCATGCAAGCGTGGTGGCCGTTCTGCTGGCCTGCACACGATCAGTTTTGTAATTTGTTAAAGATGATATTATTCTAATAAAATGGTTATTTTGTTGGAAATAATTGTTATTTTAATCAAAGGTATTAATTAATATTTCATTACAAGTTTGTTTCATTTAAATTTATGAATGAACAAAGTGTAACCCTTCGAGATGAAGCTGGTGTCAGTGTGCCTCTTCCCCGGCAGCTTCATTAACCTAAAGCAGCTCCTCCAGGCTCTCCGTGGACTTCGACAGAGTCACGTTTCTGTGCGCTGACATTTTATTTTTCTTAGTGTTCAGATACAAAGAGCTTTTGGTGCTTTTCACTGTTCCTGATGCTGTTGTTTATTTTCTAAATAGGTGCCTTTTGGCCCCTTCGCCTTCATGCCGGGAAAACTTGTCCACACGAACGAAGTCACTGTGCTCCTGGGGGACAACTGGTTTGCCAAGTGCTCCGCCAAGCAGGCCGTGGGCTTGGTCGAGCACCGGAAAGGACGTATGTACCGACTGTAAATGATGCTCCTTTGTGAGAGGGTCACGGGGGCCAGGGAAGAGCCAGCCTGTGGGGGAGGAAGCGGACGATGGCATTCTGGGTGGACTAGCACCCCTTTAGCAGGTCTTTAGAAACGGCATCCTGTGAACGTCGCTCGTGTGGCTTTGTAGGTAGAAGTTGGGAAGACATACGAATTGGGGGCATTTTATAGTGTACTAGTGCCCCAGTGCACGCAGTCATGCACATTGAAAGGAAATGACTTAGAAGGGCAGGCGGGATTGGGCAAGGCGGGCCAGACATGTTCTGGAGCCGACCTCCCACAGTCCCTCCCTGGCTGCACCTGGGGTGGCGCCATGGCTCAAGGGCTCTGTGGAGTGAGCGAGGCCCCTCCGCAGGTGGGGTCCCTCAGCCTGGCCTGCCGGGATCGGGCTGAAACCGGCTCTCCAACGTCCCCTGAGGGGTCCCGGAGTGCGAGAGGGCACTCTGCAAAGTTGCTGTCAGTACACGGTGTGGAACGCAAAGCCAACTGAGTAGTAACCAGATTCGTGGCCGACAGTGCCCCAGCAACAACATAACCCACGGCTGAAGGTGGAATTGTGTGGCCCCATGAGGAATTGGGCTCCCTGCTCTGGTTTCGGGTGCATCACCGAGAACCGCCACTGCCAAGTCACTGCAGCTCGGCAGTTCTGTGTTGAGTGCCTGCCTCCTGGTAGTCAGTGCGCATCATAGCGACTGGATGGAGGGACACTTGGCTTATTAGCCTTTATATATAGAATGTATAGGTAATTGGTTTGTTGTAGGCACTCTCATTGACTTACGTTTGCTTTTAATACTTTCCACAGAAGGAGTTAACTTTCTACTTACTGAACTGAGAGAAATATCTGTTTTCAAAGTAGAAACAGTTCTTAAGCATGTGTTTGTTGGTTTGGGAGAGTGACACTTTTAGTTTACAGAAGAGGCCAGGAGTGGAGGGACCCAAAGTCCTGTCTTTGTTAAGTGGCTTGAGGTCTCTGCCTCATTGTATTGAGCTAGTTCTTTAGTTTTGTTATCTCTGATACTATTTGTTGACACCAAATAGTGTGTTGTTTACACACACACACACACACACACACACACACACTTTGGAGTTAGGTGGGTTGAATTATGTCCTAGCTTAGCTGCATTTTAGAATTAGGTTTACTAATCTATGTTCTTAGTTCTATAGTAGTATACTTAAATTAGTAGGTTTACATCACCCCTACCTGCTTTCACCCTGGGTAAATGTGCACTTGAGAATATGCTTGTGAGGACCCCTCTACATAAACGAGGTCATTTAGACAGAAAACACCGAGCTTTTCAACGATGACATGCCTTCACGCACATGTGAGGGCCTGGTCAGAGAACTCGTTTACTCATGGAAATGCTGGGCTTTGTACTTGGAGACTAATTGCAGACCAACTTGTATATGTTTACAAGTGATACGTATTTTGACGCTTTGCGACACAGATGAGCATCTTACTGTTGTCCTGTGGGGATTTCTGGCAGTGATGCCTCCGAGGCGTCGCTGCACTGAAACGAGCCACATGCACGCGTCAGAGCGAGAGAAGGGCACGCTTCCCTCCGCAGGCAGCCCTCCTGACGGCTGCTCGCAGGCAGGCAGCGCAGCTGCTCACGCTTTGTCCTGATCTTTAGGTGGCTGTTTCAGCAGATACGTCTTTAGAGTCAGGTATGACTTAATATGTTAGTGGGAGAATATCTTTAATAGAATAGAGCTCTAGAATACAGAAATGTTTTTTGGTAAATCACTTTCCAATGTTAAATATGGTTTTGAGAATGACCAAACGTTATGACTTGGGATCAATATTTATCTAAGATAATTTTTAGAATATATTCATATAAATTATGTTTGAGAACCTATTATGAGATGTTAATTATAAAAAAGTTGCTTTGTTCACACAGTTTTGTAATACTTATTAATACTGAAGAAAAAGTTTGGGCATATGGCTGTGCTTGACATTTGCTAAGAAAAGATGCTCTATTTTTCTTAAGGCAGAAGAACATAACAAGTTAAACACACTTCTCCGATGACAGGCGTTTGGGAAGGTGGAGGTCATTGCGTGTTAAAAATAAAATGGATTTAACACAAAAACAGAAGGATTCAGAGGAGGGGTTCTGAGGAAGATGGTTTCTGAGAGTGTCCTACCTGTGCTCACATTTTGGCATTTAACATCAACATGACCAGCTTTTTAACATTCTTTTAATTTTTAAAATTATGAGCATGACATTGATTTCTCATTTGGTATACTGTTCGGTGAGCCAGAACACATGTAAAGATTTGTTTAACCGCTGAAACCGGTGTGGCTCAGTGGTAGAGCCTCGGTCTGAGGACTGAAAGGTCCTGGGTTCGATTCTGGTCAAGGGCATGTACATTGGCTGTGGGCACATCCCTGGTGGGGGGTGTGCAGGAGGCAGCTGGTCGATATCTCTCTCATCGATGTTTCTAGCTCTCTGTCCCCCTCCCTTCCTCTCTTTAAAAAATCAATAAAATATATATTAAAAAAAAAAGATTTGTTTAACCAGCACCATAATCAAGACACGAAACAGGATACAGGACACACCACAGGACACAGGAGCACATAAAACCTCCCTACCTTCCTTTCAGTGGCTGCGTCACCTTCACCCTCAGGCTGAGAAACAGCGCACGTCCTCACGACACCCCTTCCAGGCGGAGGCCTCCTGCTGCTGCCAGGAGTCCCCGGCTTTGCTTACGGAAGTTGGAGAATGTGCCTTGGTGTGTGTCTCTTTGGGTTTATTCTACTGGACTTAATTGAGCCTTTTGGATTTGTAGATTCAAGTCTTTAGTTCAATTTGGGTATTTATTAGTGTTTGCGCCAACAACTGAGCCACCCAGCCAGGCTGCTTGTTGCTTGAGAGGGGGAGGGGGCAGAGTCAGTACTGAGTGCAGGGCTTCAGCTCTGCTAAGTGGCAGCA